AGTAAACGGCAGTTTGAATTTCATCTTCTTAACAATTTACTTGAAGAATTACCAGGCGATGCTTGCATTTCATCGCTAAGCACTATTCTCAGGCATCCATCACTATCTGTATCAATCATTGAGGAATCTGAAATAAAATAACTTTCTCTATGAAGCCAAAAGCACTTTGAGAAATCAAAAATGAGCAAATATTGCAGACAATCGAGTTTTTACAAACACTGCGTTTAGTAATATTATGCCATTACAAAGCCAATATATCCGAACTTCTGAACAAAGAAAAAATAAGAAATTCAATTTTAGTCAAAAAAATAATGATTAATCAGTACTCAATATCAAAATATTCGATATACTCCAACTAATAAATTTTGCTAAATTATTGTTCTATGCAAATTTTTTAAATTATTCTTACTTTTTTTGATGCAAAATTTACAAAATGCTTAAGATTTTATCTACCAACCAATCAATTACTGATTCAATTACTGATTCATTTCAAAGTGATTACAATTATCAATTACTGATTCATTTCAAGGTGATTACATTTCAATTTCAATTATTATCATGTATGTTGTTGATACCTACGAAGGGAATTTCAATTTTATTGAAAAGCTTCCAAGAAGAATTTTAGTTATTCGTCTTCTAAGCTAACTATTTTCAGTATGTAACAATTTAATTTTTATATCATTTTGTTGTAAAATTTGAAATTTGAAATACTAAAATATTTTTGAATTGTTTTTTCAAAAATAGAATGGATTCATTATTAATGCACAATTTTTAATTTCTCGGTAATGTTAATCTGATGTAAAAGCGTATAGAACGCTGTTTACTAATTCCTGAAAATTTCCATTTTCACAATGAATTCAATTTTTCCTCTTATTTTTCAATAATGCTTCTAAAATTTGGTTTTTTAAGAATCTAAAATAGAAATGTTCCATTCATATTTCTATTTCGATATCACTTCCAGTATTCTGGAATTAATTTTTTTTAAGTAACTCGATATACATACAATAGCTACAAAGTAATTCGACGCTACTATACACGTATCGAAATGTTTTATAGTTAGTTTAAATCGTTTGTTTTACTTCATTAAACTGTTAGTTTTTTCTAAAACTAATAACAAAGTGCTAAAAATATAACTTTTTTTTCATAATATCATTAAAGGTATAGAATCTCTGAAACTATATCATACAATCACAAGTAATAGTCTACAAACGTGTTACACGTGACTTAAGATGATAAAAATCAAAACAAAAAAGCTTACTGCCATCCTCAGCTGCTTTTTTTTCCCGTACGCTTTGCAAGCTAACCATTGTACAGGAGTGATCGTACACTGACAGCAATTTGTGAAGATAATGAAGAAAAATTTGCATAAAATGACATGCAACTAAAAGGGCAATTTTGAGAACTTCTAGAGAGCGAGAGTGATTGTAAGTAAATACAATTAGATATTACGTTGAATTAAGTCAGTAAGTTAGATTGTTTAGTAATACATAAGTTAGAGTGCAGCAAATTGTAAAATTGAGGTCGATACAGTTTCGCGATAATAGCGGTAAAGATTCTTTAATTTTGAAAGGATAAGTCAAAGTGATTCCATTTTACAAATATTTACGTGTGTTTTCAACTGAAATTGACCAATACTTTTCCAGTAGTACATGAATTTTTAAAATTTTGCATAAAATTCGAAATTATCTTTTGCACCGATTATTTTATAAGGACTACGTAAACAAGAGAAAGCTACAGAAATCCCTTCTAATTTGAATTCGAGAAAATGTTGAATTTACTCTAATACAGTAAGCATATCTTTGTAATGAAACGCGACTAAACTTGTATAATTAAACAGCAAATGTTAAAATTTCATTTTTAATAAATTTTGAAAGTTTGTGGATTGCGAAGTTTTGTTAGCAAGTTAATGCAAGAAAGTGATTCAAAAATTACAACGCTTTTATTCAGCGGAATAAGCATCATTGTTTAGCACGTCTGAGGCAGATATATAAAAAAGAAGTAACAAGCATGGAGAAATCTTGCTGTAAGCTAAAGAATATTAGCAGATGTTTGTGAGAATTAGTGCTACCAAATTGTGACTTCAAATGTGCGAAGGATTCATTTTTCGCAAATAAGTATGACCGTTTTTTTGCATATGCAAAGTGTTTCGTTCAATGTTAGCAGTATTTAAAATGAAGCAATCACTTGTTAAAATGCATTTCTCATTAGTACTGAAAAACCAAACTGTTGAAGTCTCTTTGGTGAGCAATTAATTGGCAATGCAATCACTGTGAATGGTTCTTCTTATGGTTGTCAGAAAAAACCTGACCTCAGTTGTGAACTTCAAAGACTTTAATAGGTCATCTGGAGGTTAAATAAGACGTATTGTAAGATATCAAGCATTTTCTTGAATACTCACTGTAGAGTAAATACTTTTTATAAGTATCAACGGAGCCATTTTTATTGTTCTGTTATTTGCTAGTTTATTATTTTATGATTTACGTAATCAATAGACAAAAATATTCGAAATTAATACCTTTTGTAAGTTTAATTATTTACCAAGGAAATGCATACTGTAAAAACCAAATGTGAAACTCTCGATGAAATGATAGATCTCCATGTATCCTTCAGGAAAAAGGCATAAGAATTCCAAAGCAAATTATGCCATCCGATCGCATTAAGCGCCAAGAAATTAAAACTTTGCAACAACGATGGAAAATGTAAGCATACTAAAAACAAATAGCATTTTTATATGTTTCTATTCCAGAAGGAATTAGGACTTAAGGATTAAACAGAAGTACTCACAACTACCAAAGGAATGATTATTTATTAATTCATATCATAAAGTTCTTGCAAGATATACAAATATTTTAAGGAGTATTTCATTCTTTGCTAATGTTTTTAGCTGAATTAGAATTAATAAATAATTATTGCAGAAGCGTATTTGTTTAAAAGTATTCGTTTTAAAGTAAGTAAATAAAAAGTAATCATGCATGTTTGCAAAGTAATCAACTGTTGCAATGCAGAAGAATTTCATTCACTGAAGTTATTTTCTGAAAACAATACTTGAGAAGTAATAACTCTTGAAGGAAGCACACTGACCGTGCTGGTGATATACCGAACTGTCCATCCATTGAAGATATCGTCAAAATGCCAATTGAGGAAAATCTACCGTATGTAATTTTTATTAAAAAATTATTAATAAATTTATGACAATATTTACTAAATTAAAGCAAGTAAAAATTAAAATTACTTTCCTCATTTACCACTGTAATATATCAATGAAAAATAACTCAGTGAGTTATTCTGTTTTTAAATAATTATTTAAACAAAAATTCAGTTCATTTTGCGCAGAAAAACAGAACAACTGAGTGATCTAAATGAAAGAACTGAGCAAGCAGTGTTGAGAGAATTAATAAAGCTGGAAAAAAGGGCTTAGTTTCAGTAATTATCTTTATCATTTAAAAGAACGCAATAATTTCTGACAACAGTACTTGCTTTCATGAAAGATTCCAAGACTGTGCTCTTCATTATCTCACAACTCTCTCAAAATTGTATTCAGAGCAGCGGTGAATTCTGCAACAAATAGTACCGTATCTACAGCTCCACCCCAGTCATCAGAATCCTCGGCCCAAGCACAGATTACCACTAGTAAATTTTTTTTAAATGCAAATGCAAACTTTTGCACTCAAAATGCTATGATTTATTTTTACAAGATTATCATATCTTTTCTACACTTGTATGAGTGACCAGTTTTCTCATCCATAAACTCTAATTATTTAGTAGTACGAGGGAAAATTTTTATTACCACTTACCTTTGCTACCGTAATTTACTACCATGCAAATATTGTCAGAAGGAAAATGGTTTTATCATTAAAATTTTTTTTCTAAAAGTTTGTTACCAAACATTTGCTACAACAATACTGTTTATACTATAATAACATAAAAATTGTACTCAAAATCTAGTGTTATAAAATTATCTCTATGACGACTGTAGGAGTGATCTACCTGATAACCTTCATTATTCTAAGATTTCGAATTTCTTACCAAATAAACTTCACTTTTCAGGTTGCTTTAGTATTCTAAATTTCAATCAATGTTCAAAAATCTCATAACATGCTGTCAATTAATATCAATTCTTCTAACAAAAATTGCAATGAATATGTAGTATAAAGTCAATGTTTAACACATTTATTCAAATTCGTGAATCTTTTAACCAGATTTTAAGCGTAAATTAATTAAAAATTTCTTTGAAAACTATTCAAATAGCGAATAAGAAAAAAGAATTTTGGATAGCCGAAAATATATTCTATTCTTCTGAAAATAACGTGTTATTAAGCTGCTCGTGAAATATCACCGGTAGAGTCCGTAGTGCCGCAAAATTCCTCAGATACATCGTCGCTACCTTTTCGCCGCAGAATTTCTCGATCTCGACGCCGACAACGTAGCAGAAAGAGTAGTAAAAACTACTTCGATGTGTCACGATCAGGGTATATCATATCCTTTAAGATTATGCAAACAAGAAATACAGAATTCTGGCCAAAAAAAATACAGGAGAAATTTTCTTAATTTTTCGCTTAAATAACATTAATGAAAATTTCTGTACAATGTTGAAGCAGCGACTACGCTATCCAGGCACCAGCATGGGAAAGAAGAGATGATATCCCTATGTGTCCTGATATTGAACATATCTGCCAGCTTGACCAGAACATTCAAGAGTACGGTTTCCTTCAGAATTTATATTTATATATATATTTGGAAGTTAGCCCTCTCGTATATTATTACCATTATTATTATTATTATCATTATTGTACTTATTACTATATTGTATGGAAGAGAATTGAAATTTTTGGATAGTGACAGAAAGCAAGAATAGTTAAGTTATCAGTAAATGAATATGATAGTTTTTATCGACATTCAAGCATTCCCAACTTGCTTCCTTTGTAATAAAATAATTAATTTAAAAAAATCATGATTATGAGTTACAATCGCTAGTAGAAAAAATCGTTTTTCAATTAGTTCGGTTCATTACTGTGCTTACAATTTTGCAAAATAATAAAGAGTAATAATAGTGTGAATCTTCGCCAATATCGGATAAGTTTGGATTAATTTTAAGTAAGTGGGAAATTTTTTGAGGGATGAAATGTCGGCCCAACGATTTTCCTTCGCTCTTTACCAGCTAGTCGATGACTTCTTCCTTCTGCTGACCAAAATGACAGAATTGTTTAAAAATCATCCGGTAAGCAAATATTTACTTTCATGTATGTACTAGCTTTGTATTTAGCATTTAATCCTAAATATCTGACCACAACTTTTCATTTTTTACTCAATGGCTAATTCAATTGACTTTCTTTATACCACAGACTACGAGTGCGAAAATTTATTGCATCGCAATGCTTTATTTTTAACTTTAACTGCTCAGAATATTCAAGTAATAAAATTATAACTAAGCGCAGATAAGCCACTTGGGTAGTAATTAGTAATTTGCAGTAATGTAAGCATTCGTATTGTAATAACGAATAAGTCGCAATGAATTGCAGCGTCCAGCGACAACAATTGGTTTCATTGTCGCTAGCTACCTGATCATTTGTTATCTGGAGCTTTCTATTGCAGCTTTAGTTGAATTGTTGGCTCAGTCAACTTGGCCAATATTCCATGCTTTTTTGCTCTTTACTGAACGCTTTGCTACCAGTTTCAGCTCGTTTATGCGTTCTTCCGATGACATTGTGCAAGTAATCTTTCAGTACGCTTACAGCCCAAATAAACTTTTTTAATTTATATTTTCACACGTTTAATTCTTCTTTGCATCTATTCAATGTTTCCGCATTTCTTGCAATTCATATTTTATACTAATTCAAAGACTAAAGTTCAGTTCAATTACTTTCTGCATGCATTTCTTTACAAAACGTTCATTTTTCATATCAGTAAAATAGCAGAACATTAGTTTCATAAAAAATTGAAATTAATTAAAGAAGTTTTGTTTTTGTATTCGAAATCCTAAGTTTAATTAATCAAATCTACCAAAATCAGGCAAATAAAGAATTACCTGCCTAAAAAATTTTAAACCTCCATTTATGCGATATCATATAAACATTTCTTGTAGCTTACAAATTATTTTTTGAAAGACTGTACCATTTTAATAATAAGCACAACTTTATGGTCTTCATTGCAATTCCCAACAGTACTGCTTAGTCAGTTTGGAGTAAAATAATATTACAGTACTGTGTGAGATTCTTTGGCTTTGCTTACATTGTTATGGTATACTGTTTGATGAACAAAGTACTGTTTGATGAACAAAGCTTTAAAGTAATTCACAGAGAAATGAAAGAGTTTATTAAACTTTTATTTTCTGTTTCTTTATTTCAATGTGATAAACTTTTTTTTCACATTTATTTACCTATTATCCAGATAGTAAGTTGTCAAAATATTATAGTAATCGCAGGTTTTAATGAAATAATCAAAGTTTTTGCTTAAGAGTGGGATGTGTTTTTTCATAAATTGCAATTAATTATTATTCATTTAATTTTTTATTGAAAAGAAAGATGGATATTATTGTAATGAATGTATTAATTTGTGTATGCAGTCTTGATCAAATATTCAACAAAGAAAATCTGAAATTATTAAATTTAAATAAATAAATAAAATCGAGCATTGAGATTGACAGGACAGTACAGGACAGGACTTGATTGCAGGGTGCATACTGCGATGTGGCAGAAATTTGGTGTCGACATTTCCAGATGATGTGCGCGGATAGATGTTCATTTTTCAATTTGGCATTAGAACGATTGAGAACAAAGTGAAAAAATAAATAAGTAGTTATGAATTTAAATATAAGCTTGCTGTTCACTTACTTTAATAAAAAAAAAAATTTCTACCAAAGTTGAATGATATTATTTATGTCAACATCAAATGCTTATAATATAGGACGGATTGAAGAGCAAATTCGTTTTGAAATAGCACCGTGAAGAGTACGTGTAATGCAAGTAAGCATTCTTCATGGTGTTGTATTAGAAAAAAATTACTTCTGAATCTATATAAAAACAAACCCTGCATTTGCATTAGCCACTGACGTTCAGAATCCTTTCAATAAAATTTTTAAGTGGTTATCAAGCATAGTCATTTTGTGAATAAATTATATTTAAGTATTAAAGCTGTTCAAAGTTGATCTCTCAGTTTTTAATCGCGTAAATACTAAGCAATACTGGAAGATGTCAGCAAATAAACTGTAATGTTTTTAAAAATGATATAAAACCAGTAAATATTTTATCCATTTGTCTTACTATGTGCCTTTCTCGAAGAGCACTTGCATCAGCAATAAGTATTAATAGATTAATAGTCGACTACAAGTGAAAGTAAAAATGACTGAACACAGTAATTATTTCAATATGGTTTTTTATAAGCTAAACTGAATGATTAGCTCACACTGATAGTCAGCAAGAAATAATTAAATGCATCAATTAAAAGGCTAAACTATGATTACATTACAAAACTGTATTCTTAGGTAAAGAATATTTGCAATTGTTTAAGCAACACAACGATATAAATGAGTTAACTCACGTCCTATTTAAACACAATTGCATTTAAAAATTAACAATTATATTTTAAAATGCACAAAAAACCATTCTAGCCGTAAAGAATATTTGCTATTGTTACAAATGTTTTTTGGTATTTTCATTAAATGAAACAGTCAGTAACGCTCACCCCAATTAGATTCACAAGTGTGCTTGCATTCTGCACAGTACAGGAGACATACTGTAGTGCAAGGCTGATCATAACGATATTTATAATCGTCATCTTCTTGTACCGTAATGTTCTTTTTTTAATTAAAATTTTACAAGATAAATTCAGTTACACTTATTTTAAAAAGATTTAGAATTAATATTTATTGACAATATATATAAACATGCATAAACATTTTTTATTAAGTATAATAAATACAAGCAATTTTATCAGCGTTTGAAATACCACTTGCGCCCCATGATGTTGATCTCAGCAACAGCATCAGTTTTTGCGAATTGAGTTTTGCATATAATTTGCAACATCAGTTTTTATAAAATCACCCAAGCAAGAAAACTTTCACATTTCTATTGCAAAAGTGAAAAAACAAACATTAGCAAATGCATCAAATGTTGTGGAATTCTGGTCATTCATCAAACAACGATATCAAATATTAAATATCAACGATCAAATATCATCAATCACTTCATCGCGAAATTTTACACATATATTAATTGCAAAACAAATTTAATGAAACAATAAATCATTGAGAGTTAAATTGGCAAGAGTTACGAGAAGCGTGGGACAAAATCAAAAAAGACTGCTGTTCTGCCACGGAAGTCACGCAGATTGTCAAAGTGATACTCAGCTAAGTTGTCTTTCAAGCGACAGTCCATCGTGAATGGCCCAAAACTACTGCTCTCATTACGTGACAAGACACTGTTAAACGTCAATTTAACCATCACCTGAACACTTTTGAAATGAGAATGAAATACTTTACATTACGGCAATAAAAAGAAATATTTATCTGAAATTAATGAGATTATGTATTGCTTACAAAAATAATAAACAAAAGTCTAGCTTCATTCTTTTCTCTGTTAACAGTTTTGCTTCGTAAAAGAGAGCATAATTCATTCAGCTTCAGAACACATGTTTAGGTGATCTAAACTAACGTTGACGTACACCTCCGTTAAAAAACAAACAGTGCTTCACTGGCAAGTTGCCATCAGTACTAGTATATTTAATTTAATTTTAAGCTTATTTTCATTGCTATTACAGCAATCACCAATAAATCACTAAATTCATTAAAAAACCAACCTACTTTTATAAACTAAATTCGTTTAACACGTGATATAGCAGTGATTATGAATTTTACTGCAGGTACACAATGCTTTGTAATTGATGCTTTAGCAACTTTAAAAGATGCATTTCTTAAAAATAAATGTTAATATTGAAAAGACGTACTAATGGAGGTGAGGCAAAAAGAGTCTTCCCGTCTGATCCGGTGATTTCCTTGCCATCATTATCAATGATCTTTTCGTTGGAAATCAGATTCATTTGAAATCCACCGCTCCGAGCGGTTGTTGGTAGCGTTGGATAATAAGTTATATTAAGATAAACATTGGAAGAGTACTGATACTGCTGAAAGCAAGAATGGAGTTAGCAAATATAAACCAATCCAGGACTTAATTTTGTGTAATTAAAACAAATGTATTCTCGAAAAGTCTTTCTTGAGATACCAGAAAATTCAAAAATGCTCTCTCCAATATAAATATATCGACTTCAAACTGAAAGGACTTGGTTTTATATATATATATATATATATATATA